GTGGACATTTCTGTTCATCCCCAGCCACCGCCTTAGATTGAGGTGAGCACTTCTGTCCAGCCTCAGGATTGGTTTTTGTTTTTGTTGTTTCTGTTTTACTGTTTGCTTCACTCATGTTTGTTCCCAAGACTAACAAAGAAGAGTTGGTCACCTCTGGCAGAGCCCCGCATTAGCAGAGGTATAGGCTTATTACAATGAGTTTTCGCCCAGTTCCTCAAGGGGATAGTTTGTGACCGCATATGACCCTACGGCCATTCAGCTGTCGGCACGATTTTAACCTGTCCTATCCAAGTTATTAAATATTGGCCTATTGGCCAATTATTATTATTATCATTAGTATTATTATTATTAAACACAAATATATTGTCGATATTGTTGTGACCATACTTTTCCAAAAAAATATAGTTCAGAACATAACATCTCTCAACATTGTCTTTCACACCCTATAGCATATCTCATACCAATATATCTCAAATTATTTTCAGTGGTAACTCCTCGTTAGTACCACTCAGCCTTCAGGTAGAGATTGAACAATACATGATTTGTTACTGTATCCGAGAATATTCTAGATGATAATGAACAATTATTGTATTCACCTGCAGCACTTTCCCTGAGATCTCGAAGATTTGTGATATGAATAAGGCGTATATCATATTCAGATCAATTTCTTTAATGTGGTATAGATGCATATGATAATTTCAATTAAAGCAATTGATATTGTGTATTTTATTAGTTATAGATCGATTCAACCGGAAATGGTTATGTTAACAATTTAACTATCATTATAATTGAAAAAAATAGCGTACATTCATCGACAAAGCAAAAGTTGTAGGAAAACCTGAATTTATTTAAATAATTATTATTACTTCAATGAACCCAACTGAACAATTTTTAGAGTTCAGAAACATCTTTTTGAAAAAAAATTTCGATCGTGAAGACAGGAAATCTGTGAGATACGGGACGCTATCAGAGTGAATCAATGTTGGGCGTTTCTCTCATTTCGACGAGTGTCAAGTTCTTGGATGAATTCAGATAGTTCGAACAAGTTTCGACTCTTGAAGATTGTCCTTAATAGAGAATAGACTGTGGTAAACGAAGAAAAAATACACTTTCAATCGATACATATAATAAAAGTGTAACTGATCGCTGTCGCGAGATATTGAGAAAAAAGATTATTGGGGTAGGTACTATATTAACAAATAATATCCAAAACAATGATTTTCAGAATTTTGTCTGTTCAATGTTATGTTTTCAAATTGGCTCATAAATAAAAAAGTAATACCAATTAAAATCGCGTAAACATTTCTTGGAAAAAATACTGTAAAAATATTTTTCATTTGATTTGGACTAAATTTTGGTTAATAATGGTAGTAATAAGTTATTCTTTTTTTTAGAAAATTCATATAACTGAAATCTGAATAAATGTCATTATCGTTATTTTCCAAAGACTTTACACATTTGTATATCTTCGAACTTTCTTTACAGAAATTTATCGCTCAAAACATTCAACTTCTTCAGCTCCAAAACCTCACCATTTTGGCGCCAACAGAAGGATGATAACAGCTAATGATCATTTTCATACATATTAGATCAGTCTGATCTTTGGCGCTAGAAAGCATATTGGAGTTTTGCTATTATTTTCATTATATCCAATCTGAAGATTCTGCTTCTAAAAAAGCTACTCAAATTAGTGAAATACGTGTTTGGTTGAATTGAACAATCAAATCTATATATACAAAAACTATTTTGATCTACGACTTCATTTCATTTGATGCACCAGTAGGATATAATGAAAACGTTACTTATCTTAAAACACTTTTGGAAAAACTATTATTCGGGGCCATTATTATTCCAATAGAAGCTCTTTTGTTTGTTTGTCCTTTTTGCCAGTGGATTTGTGCCCGATAATTTAAAAAATGGCTCAACCGATTTGAGAGTGGCTTTTACTATCTTAATTTGATTTATTTCCTTGGATTGATTTATTTCCTTCGAATCATGAATACTTCACGTCCATGTCAATTTAAAGAAGCTCTCAAACTTTCACTGGCACTTTGGTTGACAAAACAAGTTTCTTATGAATACAAGAAAATATTTTGTTCTTTAAAAAAACCTGAAAAAACCCTTTTAAACAGAAGTTCATGCAAACGAAGTCAAGGGCATCAGGTATTGCTGAATGAAAGTTTCAACACATGCAGAACTCTGAATTCGAACCGAATTTCACCTTATTTTCCTTTCAATTGGCAAATCTGCGAGAAATATAAACAGAGATATAAAGATATAATTACCTGCAACACCCTTTTCGGGAGGCCAGTCTTTTGAGAGAGTTGTTTAAGGTCTTTGGCGTCTGGGTTGTGATTGATTGCAAAGTACGACTTCATCGTTCTTAATTGGTGATGCTTGAATGACGTCCTCATTCTCTTCGTTCTTTGATTGGAACCATGCAAACCCGGCGTACCCGATCTCCCAAAGGACATATCTAAGTAATCCGAGTTCAGATCTGCAAAAAAAAGATCTAATTTGAGTTGGTTTGAACCGAGATGAAAAAATTCAAATGACATAAATATAGATCAGAGGCAGCAAAAGTATAAAAATTTTAATTAGAGGAACCAGACCACATGAAGTATCATTCGATTCGAAATGTGGGTGGAGTATATAAATTCATATAAATATTGTAGTAGCTCACTTCTGGTGATTAACAACGATATTTTAATCAAATGTAAATGAGAAACCAGTAATTCACCTTGATAATGGTCATAAACTTTATTTTTACATACACATCTATAGCAGGAGAGCCCACGATGCAAAATGGGGATTTACTCGAGCGTCATTGAGACATATTAGATTGCAAAGCTTAGATGATAAGAAGAAAAAAAATGTCATATAATATATACCTTTCCATCGGTGGGAAAGCAGCTATAGATTTTTAAATATGTAAAAAATACTATTGCATGGACATACTCGAACGCGTCAGATATTGATAGCATCAATGTCCTACGTATTTATAATAATGTTGGTATGTTGATTTGATCGTTTGCATGATGTGGGTGGTTGCACGTAAGGGTTAAAAGTGAAAAGAGAAAAACTTAATCGAGCGCGTCAGATTGTCCAAGGGTGTTAAGTGCAACAAAAAAAAGCTCTCATTCTATAATCTGACGATTTCGATCTGACGCAAACTCGCGGCCATTATTATAATGATAATGAACAATTATTGTTTTCACCTGCAGCACTTTCCCTGAGATCTCGAAGATTTGTGATATGAATAAGGCGTATATCATATTCAGATCAATTTCTTTAATGTGGTATAGATGCATATGATAATTTCAATTAAAGCAATTGATATTGTGTATTTTATTATTTATAGATCGATTCAACCGGAAATGGTTATGTTAACAATTTAACTATCATTATAATTGAAAAAAATAGCGTACATTCATCGACAAAGCAAAAGTTGTAGGAAAACCTGAATTTATTTAAATAATTATTATTACTTCAATGAACCCAACTGAACAATTTTTAGAGTTCAGAAACATCTTTTTGAAAAAAAATTTCGATCGTGAAGACAGGAAATCTGTGAGATACGGGACGCTATCAGAGTGAATCAATGTTGGGCGTTTCTCTCATTTCGACGAGTGTCAAGTTCTTGGATGAATTCAGATAGTTCGAACAAGTTTCGACTCTTGAAGATTGTCCTTAATAGAGAATAGACTGTGGTAAACGAAGAAAAAATACACTTTCAATCGATACATATAATAAAAGTGTAACTGATCGCTGTCTGTATATGTGGGATATTTGAGAAAAAAGATTATTGGGGTACTATATTAACAAATAATATCCAAAACAATGATTTTCAGAATTTTTGTTTGTTCATTTGCTAGTATTATTAATTGTGCCTGTTAAGCACAAGAATGGCTCAACTGTTTTGGCTCAGTAATCTATTGTAGCAAGCTTCACTTAAACATTGTTATGTTTTCGAATTGGCTCATAAATAAAAAAGTAATACCAATTAAAATCGCGTAAACATTTCTTGGAAAAAATACTGTAAAAATATTTTTCATTTGATTTGGACTAAATTTTGGTTAATAATGGTAGTAATAAGTTATTCTTTTTTTTAGAAAATTCATATAACTGAAATCTGAATAAATGTCATTATCGTTATTTTCCAAAGACTTTACAGATTTGTATATCTTCGAACTTTTTTTAGAGAAATTTATCGCTCAAAACATTCAACTTCTTCAACTCCAAAACCTCACCGTTTTGGCGCCAACAAAAGATGATAACAGCTAATGATTATTTTCATACTTATTAGATCAGTCTGATCTTTGGCGCTAGAAAGCATATTGGAGTTTTGCTATTATTTTCATTATATCCAATCTGAAGACTGCTTCTAAAAAAGCTACTCAAATTAGTGAAATACGTGTTTGGTTGAATTGAACAATCAAATCTATATATACAAAAACTATTTTGATCTACGACTTCATTTCATTTGATGCACCAGTAGGATATAATGAAAACGTTACTTATCTTAAAACACTTTTGGAAAAACTATTATTCGGGGCCATTATTATTCCAATAGAAGCTCTTTTGTTTGTTTGTCCTTTTTGCCAGTGGATTTGTGCCCGATAATTTCAAAAATGGCTCAACCGATTTGAGAGTGGATTTTACTATCTTAATTTGATTTATTTCCTTGGATTGATTTATTTCCTTCGAATTATGAATACTTCACGTCCATGTCAATTTAAAGAAGCTCTCAAACTTTCACTGGCACTTTGGTTGACAAAACAAGTTTCTTATGAATACAAGAAAATATTTTGTTCTTTAAAAAAACCTGAAAAAACCCTTTTAAACAGAAGTTCATGCAAACGAAGTCAAGGGCATCAGGTATTGCTGAATGAAAGTTTCAACACATGCAGAACTCTGAATTCGAACCGAATTTCACCTTATTTTCCATTCAATTGGCAAATCTGCGAGAAATATAAACAGAGATATAAAGATATAATTACCTGCAACACCCTTTTCGGGAGGCCAGTCTTTTGAGAGAGTTGTTTAAGGTCTTTGGCGTCTGGGTTGTGATTGATTGCAAAGTACGACTTCATCGTTCTTAATTGGTGATGCTTGAATGACGTCCTCATTCTCTTCGTTCTTTGATTGGAACCATGCAAACCCGGCGTACCCGATCTCCCAAAGGACATATCTAAGTAATCCGAGTTCAGATCTGCAAAAAAAAGATCTAATTTGAGTTGGTTTGAACCGAGATGAAAAAATTCAAATGACATAAATACAGATCAGAGGCAGCGAAAGTATAAAAATTTTAATTAGAGGAACCAGACCACATGAAGTATCATTCGATTCGAAATGTGGGTGGAGTATATAAATTCATATAAATATTGTAGTAGCTCACTTCTGGTGATTAACAACGATATTTTAATCAAATGTAAATGAGAAACCAGTAATTCACCTTGATAATGGTCATAAACTTTATTTTTACATACACATCTATAGCAGGAGAGCCCACGATGCAAAATGGGGATTTACTCGAGCGTCATTGAGACATATTAGATTGCAAAGCTTAGATGATAAGAAGAAAAAAAATGTCATATAATATATACCTTTCCATCGGTGGGAAAGCAGCTATAGATTTTTAAATATGTAAAAAATACTATTGCATGGACATACTCGAACGCGTCAGATATTGATAGCATCAATGTCCTACGTATTTATAATAATGTTGGTATGTTGATTTGATCGTTTGCATGATGTGGGTGGTTGCACGTAAGGGTTAAAAGTGAAAAGAGAAAAACTTAATCGAGCGCGTCAGATTGTCCAAGGGTGTTAAGTGCAACAAAAAAAAGCTCTCATTCTATAATCTGACGATTTCGATCTGACGCAAACTCGCGGCCATTATTATAATGTGCAAAAAAAATTCGCCATTTTGAAATACTCAAGCGCGTCAGATTAAGATATATATGGTTCATCTTTATGTTTTAGACGTGCTGTCTCATAATCTGACAAATGTCACGAGGGATTCGCTTAATCTGACAAAACAATATTTGGAAAAAAAAAATCAATTCATTGAACTTAATCAATTGAAAAGCTCAGTAAATAGCATGCAAATAAATGAGTGTATGTTTTTTGAGTAGAATACTTGTATTTATAAAAATATAATAAAAAAAATGCTCAAAAAAATTTAATTTTTTATAATCAATTGATTAATTAATGAAGAAAAGAGAAATGAAACTTTCTATGTTTCTTACATAGAAAGTTTAATTTCCCTTTTCTTAATTATGATTTCCTACCACGTAGTAACAGCTACATCCATCAATTAATTGATTATATAATCATCATCTTCATCACGAACGAGTCTCTGTGATCAGCTGTGATGGCGTCATGGCAACAGAATTCAGAGTGGGGACGGAGTGAGAGAGTAATAGATAGAGAAAAAGTGAATAGAGAATAGAGGAATAGAAACTCGGGGAGGGAAATATAGGTATCACACAGCTGCACGCATTAAACTTTATCGACGAATTTTTGTTATTTCGACTTGCGGAAAACGTCAGATTATATATTTTTCGTTATCCTTGAATTATTTCCTTCAAAATAAAAAAAAATTAGCTGCGCTCGAGAATGTCGAAATGACTTTGCTGCTCTCTCCTTTCTTCTTTTAGCAGGTAATTAACTCACCCTACCTTATCTGACGCGCTCGAGAATTTCTGATGATCATTTTTTTTACTAATCTGATCCTTTATCCCTCACAGGCGGCCTTATATATGGGGTTCATATTTGGTGGAGGTACTTAACCGGATACAATGTATCCCCCTGTATATTAATCTGCCGCGCTTTAGTAAATCCCGAAATCCCCGCATGGGCTCCCCTATTACTATTACAAACGCATATGTACTATGACCATCATCATAATAACTGAGATATTTACCGTCGGTTATACAAAAACTATAATTTCAACAGGATACTTTATTGTTCAGCTGTATCAAACAATGTTGTTTAGAAGAATCTTACCTCAAAATTGTGTGATTTTCAGCAAAAATGGTGTTACACTTTTCATGTCACCAATATCAGCAAAAAACATAAAATATATTTTACGTTTATAACAAGAAAATTTCCACAGATTTTCTACTCTGTTCTCTTTTCCAATATTATTGACTTGGAATTATAACCAATATTTCGAAATGAAGTACCAGTGATGAATACATGCATTGTAAAATAAAGAAGATAAATAATATTACTGGAGTTTTTTCCCAACACCAAATCGTTATTTTCAACACCTCGACACGTGTTTCGATCAACAAGTGATCATCTTCAAAGAGGAAGATTAAAACTAGAAACTAATGCGAGCTAACCCTATTTATGCTACAAAGGTAACCCATTCAGGTAAACCATCCAGGCGTACATATTTCATTTGATCGACACCACTCATCGCTACATTTTTTTCTTATAATATCACAAACGGATTGATTATAGAGGAACAACTGCTAACACAAAACTTCGTATTACGATATTGTGAAATAGATGAGTCATTTAGAAAATTTTGAAAAAACAAACCCCAGGAAAAAATAGTTCGATATTTCCAATCATAAAATTTCTTTCACGAACAAACCATAAGCACTATAGGAAAATCCTTAAGGCGCTCTAAGAGCGGTGCCTGTGCGAAAGTAGTCATTTACATTGGATTTGAATCGCTGGAGATTAAATCCATTTGGAATAATGGTATCTGGAAGTTCATTCCACAAAAACGCAGTTCTCTAAATGAAAGAGTTCTCAATCAGTGAATTTCAAGGTGTACTGAGTTGAACCTCAAAACGATGAGCAGCCACAGTCAGTCTCGTATTTCTGATATGTAAAGCTCTTGGTGGAATCATATGTCACGAACACTTCCCGTGAAAGTATCTATATAAGAGACAAATCCCAAATTCCAGACTATCGAGGTTGAAAGTGATGTTCGCGTCTGAATCAGGCGAATGACTCTTTTCTGGATGGAATTCAACAGCTTCAGGATATGCTTAGTGTTTTAAGCTTTCGGGAAGCAGTCTCTGCAATTCCAGCGGCGTGATTTTGCCAAGACATATAAGTGTCCATTTTAACACCCAACAAACTTATCGAAGCAGAAAGTGGAATTGTGTATCGTGAGATATTTATCTTTTTGGAGAAAACCAATGCTTGGGTTTTTGTATAGCATTGAATTGAACCTGGTTACTTTACCCCAATTCGAAGTCACTTCTAGATCCTCATTGAGATATGCAACCTCTATCTGCCGGTGAAGATGTGCATCCGCAACCAATGTCCTGAAATCCAAATGAAATGATAAGGCAAGTGTGCTGTCGTTAGCAAAACAATATGTTGGATTCTTGGTTCTTTCCAATAAGTCGTTGATATATAATAAAAAGAGGGCTGGAGACAATATGTATCCCTGGGGGACACCAGCGTTAATGGTAAAAGTATTCAAGAGATATCCTTCGACGGTCACTTGCAGGAAACGTTCTTTCAGGAAGTTGGAGAGCCATCCGACAAACCATAGCATCAATCTGCCTGAGAAGTCTCCCTATTGTTCATACACCAAAAACTACTTGCGGGATCTCTTGAGAGTCAATGAACTTAGTGTAAACATAATCGAAGACTACATACGAGTACAACTAACAAAAATTTGCATGAAAGAGAATTGTATCCAGTTCAACAATTGTTACATCTTTCATCAACCGCTTTCTATTTTTAATTTTGAATATAACAAAGTGTGCGTGAGATATCATCGAAGTTTTTTATTCGTTTGAAAGACCTGTGGATGCCATTATGTGTGAAATATAACATCGTTCAAATGGCTGTCACAGCTTCCCTGGGTGGAGCGCATCTGAAATGTCTAATTTTCCGTGAACCTGACGCGTAAAATAAGGCTGAATTTAACCAATGACTTTGCGTACCTCTGTGGTTTGTGGCTTATTCACATTTTCTTGCGACTGAAGAAAGAAAGAAAAAGTCTAACAGGGTCAATTTGCACGATCTTGGTGGCCAATTCACATCACCTCCACGTGATATGACAATACCCTCAAATCGCTCGTGCAGAATATCCAATGTGGCATGAGCTTTCTGGCACGTAGCGTCTGTTTAAACCACATGTCGTTGGTGTCCAGATCATCCAATTCTGGTAGGACGATTATGGCGACCGTAAAATGGTCGAGGCGCGCGGTATGTTGCCCGAACAGAACAACCATTTTGATAAAACAATTTCATTATTTGCACGTGTTGTTGAACGCTATATCTGTCCAAGAGGATTTGACAAAACAGACTGAATAAATGACAACTGATTTGACAGATGTAGCTTTAACAAGATGGCCGTTATCAATTGTCAAAGTTTGAAAGTCCCTGTACCTAGAGTACCTAAGGTACCTGTTAAATTATGATCACCTGAAGCATATTACCTCACATCTATATCAATAGTAATTCTTTCTCGGTTTTTGAGAAAACAAGTTCAATAATGGACACCTATTCAGATCCAGTTGGTCATTCATTAGAATGGTTGAATTTTTAAGTTTATTCTGCTTCCAAATTATTCAGTTTAAAACCTTTATTTTCTATGTGCAAAATTTCGAACTCTTCGTTAAATATACGATTTTCTTCTAGAAGATGATTTGAATATGTTGAATTTGTTTTCTCATTTACATAGTTCGTATGATGTTCCTGGATTCGATTACTAAATGTTCTGCCAGTTTGACCAACATTTACCTTAGGTCACGTTCCACACTTCAATTTATATACTCTAGATTCTCGAATTTGGATATTTTGTCTTTTTTATTTTTAACTAACTTTCCCAACGTATTACTTGTTTCATATGCAATTTTAATTTCTCGTTTTCTCAAAAATGAAGCCACTTTTCCGTTGTTTGTCCAAAATACGGTAAAGCTCTATAATTTTGATTATCAACCTCATCAATAGGAAAAACGTCTCAAATCTCTTTTTCTTGGCAAGTATTTTGTTTATTAATACGGCTTTTAAAACCTATTGTTTACTGTAATTTGCTTGATGATATTAAGTTGCTTATTGAAATTATCTACTGAAAGAAGAACATTGACTAATCTGTGAATTATGCTATTACAAGCTGCTACTTTGTGTAGGTAAGGATGGGTAGAATCGTAATGTATAATAATATCCGTATAGGACGGTTTGTTTGTTGTTCATTCTACTAATTGTTAAGTCCAAGAAATTGATTGA